CTGGCTAAGTAAAAAGTTGCACTACTCTGTGCTAGTCTAGGCACTAAGAAGCTTCTTGCGTCTGCTCTCTAAACAAAATCAATTCACTAGGAGGAAAGGCCATCACTGGGTATATTATAATCAACCTTAGATCTTGCATAAGCATATCAGTATCCTTAATTTAAAGTAGTTATTGAAACTTACTGTATTTCTGACAATAGAGCCATAAGCTAATGATGTAGTTACAGCAACTTTTTTAATGTAACTTTCAAGTTTTAATTGTATTGGATCTGTCAAGATTCCTGGCCACCCACACTATATGTAAACAACACCTCTAATTTCAATATAGGGGACAAACATCGCATGGTAATCTCTCATGCTAGAGATGCTAGAGGCTATTTTCATATCATCTTCATACATAAAATATCTAACAAAGAATAAACTCAGAAATCTCTTTTAAATACATGATAAATAACAGAGGTCCCAAGTTGGACCCTTGAGGGACAGAAGCCGTACCAGAATATTTGCTTTTCCACTGCACGTACATACGTAATAGTACAAACTATTATGGAGAATTTTACTATATCCACTTGGAGGTATCTAGTCAAAAATTAAAATCCCGATGGGAAAAAGATATGACAAGTCGTAGTGGTTCTTGTGGTCAGAAATACCTGTTTGAAATAAAAGAAAAAGATCTACATGTTTGATCTTTGCGCCAAGGCAATTCATGCATAGCCCTTCATCTTGTTAACACTGATAGATCAGTTTTGAGTTAAGATACTTTATGGACCAAAGCATATTTCCGGCATACATTTTTAAGGCAATGTATTAGCTAATTAGAACTAAGCAGCACGTAGCAGGTAACATATCATAGCGAATGAAAATAATACATTTACATTGCCTCATTCATAATAATAGTAGTTATCCATGTGTTGCATTTCACAATAAATGATTAAAACTGCGAGTCCTCGGAATCGTGGGATCGATATATGCATGTATGTATAACAGGCATTCCAATTTTCATGCATATTTTGGTGTTCAGCTAACATCACGTACTTGCTTCACGAAATATGGACAATGCAGTTTGATTTTTTCCATTCGTTCATTATGTACTCTTCATTCACCCTGATAAAGTCTCTCCCAGTGTAAGCATAAGCATTGACGTAGTAAATGGTTAGATTCCTGAAAAAATAAATCACCTATTTCTGCTGGTCTGACTGTGAATCTGTCAGCCACTAGCGTATTCTCTAAAATTTCCATTTCGACATAATAATAATCAATTGACGTGTTTCTATGAAAGTGACATAACTCACCCTTCATCGTTGAAAAGTTAAAATTCAATTCAATTTTATTCAAGTAGTAGGCTTCCTTTTTACGCGAGGAAAACCGTCATACTCTAACATGTGAGTTTAAAAATGCATTTAATATTTTATGCAAGTACAGCCTTCCGAATGTTGCGAAAGAACGAGCTCCACCCGTATCACGTACAGCGAATATAATCTCTACAATACCGGTTTTATCTTCCAACAGTTGAGTTTTGTCAAACAATGCTACAGAGACACCGGGAAGATCCGCGATTTTTAGAGAGAATTTTATGGACTGATGAGTCGACATTTAAAAAAGATGGTAACATGAATCTACACAACTTACACAAGTGCCATGTAGAAAATCCCCATTTGATGAGACAAGATTGATCGCAGTATCATATTAAACATGTGGACCGGGACCTTAAGTGGGAGAATCATTGTACCCTTTGAGCTAGGAGAGTTCTTGAATGGCGAAATTCAATTGGACTTTACAAAATCATTTACCAAATTTATTGACTACTATTTGTAGATTCTTGCTATACGAGGGCACATTAGCGCTTTTCCAAAAAAAAAATTATGTAAACGTTTAGTTAATACGCTTGACGGCATCCTTCTACGTGATTAACAGATTGACTATTTGATTTTAGAAATCAACTTCCGTACGCCACTGTAGCTAGGCACTCTAAACGAGACTTATCCGTCGTAGGCAGCGCCGGAACCGGAGTTCCGATTACCCGTCATTGTGGGGCCGCGAACAATGGCCAATTGGGCCCGTCTCTCTTATATGAATCCATCTCCGATGGACGGACAGCAGCCAGCCAACGACGGACTAGCTAGCCGGATTAATTATATCTAAATTGTTACCAATTAAGATTCAATTCATGCCCGACTCATTATCCGGGCATTACTACGCTCAGTCACTCAATCGATGCAACTCAATTGTGTGCTGGGGGATAGAGCAAGGATTAGAGCACCGCGATGCGATCGAACTGTTAATGCTTTCTGTGCCTCATATGCTCACGAAATCTCCATGCGGTTCTGGTTATTTGGAAAACAACACAGACAAGAGTTAGACGACCACCCAGACACCAGAGTATACTTTCCCGAAGGTAAAAGTGTATCAATAACCATTTTTGCCTATATTTGAGGTTATAATAGTAATGTTCAGAATCCCACTGGATCTCAGATATCGATTCGAGATGCGAACATTCTGGACATACTGCTCTATAATCCAAAAAAAAAAAACAACATATGGCATAAATGTAACGGTACCTCTTTGCAATGAATTTGAATTCATAGAACATTTAAGAATGTCTCGCAGAGCGGTTGAAGATATCTCAACAAAATACGAACACTGGAGGAATTAAGAAACTTTGTGCTTATGATTAAACCCTTTTCTTTTTGTGGTTCGCAGGACATGAAACATCATTTCGTGTTGTAGCATATATATTTGGTCAACGATTATTAGTTAATTAGACGGAACAACTTAGTGTATCTGGAACTGCAATTCAATATCCTAACAGTGAGAAAGGAAACAGAATTTAATCAAAATGTCAAACTAGTCAAATACGATGCTATTACTGTCAACTCAAACAGATAGAGAAATGTGTCCTATCAGAATTAAATTTGAAACCGTTTATAGGTTTGTTCGTACAGTGGTCGGTAACTTGTCGGTGATCAACTACTTGTTTGCAACAGTATTCTAAATCCTTTTCATCTTATTACTCCATGATAGATGTATAGAGATGACTGAAAAACATCGTCTTTAATTTTGTTTTGTCATAAAATGCATTTTTTGTGCATTTTATTGTGGATTTTTTCTTCAATCGTAACTTAACAAATATTAGTACATTTTATGGATGAATGAAACAAGTAATTGTTTCTATCCTTATTACTTTTCTCATCGAAAAATCTTTTCTTGAAAACTTAACTTGCTGCAAGATGAGGCTTTAAGAAAATCAAAGATTTTTCTAAAACGAAAAGTGATAAGAACAAAAGTAATTACTTGTTTCATTCTTCCATAAAAGAGGAATATACATACACAATTTCAGAGCTGTACTTATACTTATACTTCCGATTGAAGGAAAAATGCACAATAAAATGCAAAAAATGCATTTTTTTACAATAAAAAAAATTAAAACATTGTTTCTTAGTCATCTCTATACACGCCATGTCATTATAAGATGGAAAGCATTTAGAATACTGCTGCAAACAAGTATATGAAAAAAAAACTAAAAAAGGACGTGCCGCCTTAAAACTAGTCATTTGACATTTCATTCACATTGAAGGAGTTCACAATCGATTGTCAAGCAGTCGGCAATGTGATGCTAGAACAATACTATCATAACCATATTTCAGCAAAAAAGAGTTGAGCAAGCTCAAGAGCGTCTAAAATGGCAAAGCTTGTACTTTGAGACGATGTATATTACTTTAAAAAAATAATTCGTTATGCTACTTAACCTCAACTATGGTATTCAGAAATTGCTACTTTGGCACCTTTAGGTTTGAATATCTCGGAAACTTGAACCAATTGAGACATATTAACGGATTCGGATTATGCGCATCAAAAACCGGGCAAGTATACTCTGGTTTCTGGGTATCAGTCTAAGCAATCGATGGGATATCAATTCGTGGAGCTTTTTATTTATTTTTGTGGAATGAAAGATCTTCTGGACTTCTGGATCTCTTTGGAACCTCTTAGAAATCCATGGTTCTCTTCAGATTTCCTTGGATCCTCGAATATCTGGTACCTTCACAGGAGAAAGAATCATATGATCTGATACAAAATTAGTACTTTTTGCAATCCTGGGATAAAATAGCAACAGAAACGTGTCCCCCGCTCATGCGCAGATACACGGTTTCATCAGACGTCCTTGGATTGCTTAAAATTCATTCGAATTGCGTCAATTCTTCATTATTACCTCCATAAGTTGCATCCGACCTTCCTGACCTTGAAAGTTTTTAGTTTAAATCTCTTAACCCCTTCAACTCTCAAGCTAGCAACCTAACTTCATAATAGTCGTGGTGCTGCTCTAGAAGAAAATATAGGGAAAAATACATTTTTAAATATATTAATATTTAGCTGTCAATCAAACAAACCGAAATCAAAAAAAAATGTTTTCAGATTGTAAATATGTATGTCGTATTATACTAACTGTTTAACTTTTGAACTACAGTAAAGCTGCTTCATCTAAAGCTTTCAAATTAATGCACGAATGCTGTTAAAATGTTCACTTGATAACTGAGACAAAGGAGCTTCGTTGTTTAAAAGTTACGAAGTGTAATACGACATAACTTCAATTCAAAAAGAGTATTTTTACAGTTTCAGTTAGTTATATTAACAGCAAAATAAAAGCTTGTTCTTAAAATCGTATTTTTATCTCAATTATTTCTTACCTTTTAGTATTCACAGTATTTAGTATTGACAGTAGTTTAGTAATTCCGATCTAATTCACATATATTTAATTGAAAGTACTCATTTAGTTTCGAAGGTTTCGATCGTAAATACCCGAGAATTACTTATTTGTATATCCAAAGTATCTTTGTTCAATTGATCGAAGGAATAATATATACCTATATTTTAGTGGACTATCTGATGTAAAAAAGCTGAAGATTGATATATATATATATATATATATATAACAGTTCGAACTAAATGAAACCTATTAAAATGCTTCACTATGTTAGTAATTAACCGATCTACGTTTGTTCCAGGTGTGGTTCCAGAACCGTCGAGCAAAATGGCGCAAGCGCGAGAAGGCCCTGGGCCGTGAGGTCGTACCCTTCCTGCACCACTCTGAATCGGGTGCACCAATGCCGGACTTCGGCTTCCATCATCAACACCCCGCTGCGATGGTGCTGCCACCTCACGGTGTAGGTGAACACTTCTGGCCAGGGATGCCAGCGATGGCAGGGATGCCTTTTCCGCATCCAGTTGCCACTATCTTCAACCCACTGGGACTGACCTCGAGCCATCATCCTGTGCCGCATAATTTCCATGCTTTTCTCAGACAGTACGTGCTTGCCGGACAGGTTAATATAATATCAATACTAACATACTAGTTTAACCGGGAAATATCCTTATGAAAAGATAATTGAAGGTGATGCGCCACGTATGGGATGTTCCGCATGTTGCATAATATTGGGTTTTTCAATAAAGCCATTTATGACTTACCAGACTTATATCGTGCTGACTATTGCTAAAAAGCATGAAGCAACGTTATATACGGTTGGGTGTGGTAGCAGAGGCGGACAAAAGACAGATCCTATCCAGTCAATGATCCTTAGATCAATTGAAAAAAGCACTTGTTGAAGTTTCAGTCTTGGTATAATGAAACATTGAAATCTTTAAGGAACGAACACATAGACACTCTGCAGTATCAGAGGCGTGCGATGAGTTGTGCTAATCTTTTCCATTTTGATACAGTACTCATTAAATCTTTCATTTTTCAATAACTACAAGGGCTAATGTTAGAGCTGGATAGCCCCCATAAAAAAACGCACAGTTCTCGAATTTAATTTGTCAGAGGCTTTCAGCTACATTTGTTAGTACTATCAAGCTGGAAAATAATAAGGTATACCTCCTAATAAAAACTCCAGTCGAAAAGTTCAGCAAGGATTCATAATTTTAGTTTATTCAAATGAGAAATTCATAAGAATAAAGTTTCCTGGTTAAGTAGATAAGTAACTAACCTACATTAAGTACGTTAAGCTAGAAACCTTTAGAGCAAAAAAATTAAAAAACCGTATCGTAATGCAAATTTATTCACTTTAATTACAGTCATTTAATGTGGAGTTCAAATTGTTTCGAAAAAGAACAACTATTAATCACTTATTTAGTACTCAAAATTTATTCAGGCAATTCTAGATGTTGCAGTACATTCCACAACCACGTGAGTTATAATAGAGAACCATAGCAACAGTCAAAAATTCGGAAAAATGAATCGGTAAATATAAACAAAATAATGATAACGTGGCGTTGACTTCATCCTAAAATTGGAGGTTTCACATATTCTGGTAAATTGGTACTCATAGCTCAACTACACATTAACTTATTCTTACATTTTTGAATTACATATGCTGCCAGCACATTTTTTTCTGAACTAGCATTGTCTGCCTTTGTAGTTAAGGACGCATGTTATTTTTTTTTCAGCTGTCTGTTTGGAGCAGTATTTATATATATGTATAATACTTTTCTACTTATTACTTCACGGTGTGTATAGGGATGAATAAAAAACAGTGTTATCAATTTTTTTTTCAAAAAATGCTTGTTTTGAGCTTTTTTCGTACTTATTTACAAATATTGATACATCTCTGAACTTGCATGTGAATATTTCACTTTTATGGAACAATGAAGCCGGTGATTACTGAGCAAAAATATTTAGAAGAGAGAAAGTGATTCCTCCATGAAAGTGAAATATTCACAAACAGCTTTAGAGCTATTGGTACAGCATTACATAAAAAAATCAAGTGAGCAAGGACACATTTTTGGGTTAAACCTTTGACAGGCTATCTAGACTCTAAAAAAGCGTTTCAAATCTTCAAATTCTGGTTTTCAGGTCTTTGGTAAAAAAATCTTGATTTCAAAAAAGCCACTTTTTGCAGGTCAATGAGAATACTAATATTTTTAGGTCATTTAACTCTGTACGGTTTCTCCGGACCGATTGGTCCAAATTTGATAGAAATCAAAGGAGTAACATTTTTGTATCAAAACATCCTGTAATCTGGTTGAAAATGGAAAAATCATTCTTCTTCTTTTGTTGTCACTGTTGAATATTTTAAGAAAACAATTTGAAAAATTTTATTCCTCTGTTTATGGAATATTCCAAAAACAAAAACTCTGAGCAGGGGCGGATCTAGAAAATATTTTGTGGAGGCTCTCAAAGGCGGTTTCAGGAATTTGTTGAATAAAAGAAACTGCTAACATTATTTTTCAGTTATCTCTATACATACCATCAAACAATTGGACAAAATGTATTAACGATACTTTTCCATACAGGTTGTTGAAAAAAAGGAGCATGCGAAGTTAAGGGAATTATATCTGATTATTTCCATTATAATTATTTTATCTATTTATTTTGTACACATCTGACGGTATCAATTGGAACCGTGTTATTGAGGATTAAAGCATGTCGTTTAAATGAAGTAGGATGATAGATCACTGTTTGTGTAGGATTTAGTTTCCAAGAGAGAGATATTGATTTTCTTTCATAATAAATAATATTCGAATGACGCCGTTCCATGCATATGCATGATCCTTTTTATATTGTCTGTCGATTACTCATTAATAGTCAATCATATTAGACGAAAGTACCCCTAATTTGCGAAAGAATTGTAGGTCTGGTTTTATTGTTGCAAGTTATTCAAGGTGGTATTCAAAACATGGACGCATAAAATGGGTACTCCAATTTTTTGGGAACACTTTTTATTCGACAACAAAGAATGAGAAAACGTGTTTTTTGAGATTCAATCGAAAGTGTTGACAGGAACGAAGAAACTCTTCAAATAAGATTTTTATGTATTTATGAGACCTACAAAATGAGTCCACAACAATATACACAATAATCACAACAAAATTGGAGTAGGTTGGCCAAGTAGTTTTTGAGAATTTCTAATTGTTTATCCCAAAACACCTGTTTTCCGGCCATTACTACTTTATTAAGCAATACACAGGGTTGGTTCAAACGACATTTTATAGCAAAATACACTAGTCTATCTTGCCGATATGAATCCCAAACCATTCTGGAAAATAAATGTTATTTCTATGCAAAAAAGAATGGATTCCGCTTTTTCTTCTAAACAAATTCAAACATTTCGTATTCGCAACAAAATATGATAGACACATCCGCTTTGTTTTGTATATAGTAACGTATAATATAATACGAAATGTTTGAATTTGCTTCGAAGAAAAAACGTAACCTTTGAACCCTGTATATTGCTCAATAAACTAATAGTGACTACTTGACCCATATACTCGAATTTTGTTGTTGTTATTTAGAAGTATGAATCCTATGAATTCGAATAATTTCAAGTAGTTGCGTGAAATTATCGTCGCATTACCAAAAAGTGCCTATACCTCCACTTTCCTCGTTCTTCGGCCATAACACTTTTGCTATTAGTCGGATCTTTTTACGTGTAGTCTCATTTTGTAGGTTTCATAAATACCTAAAAATCTTATATGAAAAGTTTTTTTGTTCCTGTCAACACTTTCGATTGAATCCCGAAAAAAAATACGTTTTCTCATTTTTTGTTGTCAAATAAAAAGTTTACCCACAAAGATTGGAGTGCCCATTTCATGCGTCTATATTTTATATACCCCCTTGAACAGCTTGCACCAATAAAACCAGACTTTACAATTCTTTCGGGGAAATTTGTTAATATGATTAGACTATAATACCGTAAATATATATTTCATTCATGGAATTCAGTGACGTCATAACTAATGATATACTATTGGATGGTATTTTTAGTTTGAAGATATCTATAGGTTATGTCTATTAGTTACGTATTAAAAAAACTGAAACAGGTGATACGCTGACAATCAATGCCAGCGAGAATGAACGCCTGCCTTTTTAAATTGGATTGACCGTTTAACAAATGGCTGGCTAGTCACAATCACCCCAAAAGCATTGTGTTTCGACATTTTAAAATAACCGCCTATTTTTCAATTTTCTATCAATTTATACTGGTAATTTTATAGAGCAATGCGTCATTTTGTTACCATATAAGCTGTTAAAAAGTTAAGTCATATTTGAATCACATGCATATTCCCTATTGTTTATCGTTTCCTGATCATACCTGTCGTAAGTTTAATACATTTGAAATAAACATCACCGGCAGAGTACTTAGAAAATCTATATAATGGCAGGAAAAAACCCGACAAAATGTCTACTGACAAGCAGATGTTACCTCACATCAGAGCCAAACCATGGCAGCTGAAAAGTCATGACATTTAGACATCACGTACAGCTTCACGACGAGTGCACATCAAATGAACAACAGTTAGTTTTAGACTAGTACAAGAAGCTACATATGTCACAAAAAACCTATATAATATCAAAAATAAAACCGACATAACGTCACTTTTCAAGATACGTGGACTGTGCTGTAACATCTAGGCCTATAGTTGAATAGTCTGTTGAAACTACTATGCTATGCTCCTAAATCAAAAGAGAAATTAAAGAGCTTTAAACAGTCATTAACGTATTTTCATAATTTTTTTGTAGCACAATATCCTAAAGATGCTATTTTATTTTTTCAGCTGCCACAATTAGACCTTCTGACCGTTCGTGGCGCGAATGGTGGAGGAAGTGGAATGCCTTCAGGAGAAGAGCGATCTTCAAGTTCAAGTCCTGAAACAGCCAGTCCTCCGCAACTGTCGCCCAGCAGCCTTGAAGCTTTAAGGCTGAGTACACAGGAAGTTATGTTGCCGTCACAAGTATCGAAAGTTCATGCGAAATCATAAGATCAGGGGCTAATGCAATAGTAGATTTAAGATTACCAGTAAGATAAATTTGGCTATTACTGCCTCTAAGTCTAACCGTTTTGAAACACAAGAAAATAGAAAAAAGTAACGTCAGTATAGCTCTTTCTACACTAGATTGATTTCAAAAGTCATCAAAATTGGTTACTGATCCTACCAATATTCTGTTGTTTTATATTTCATGGCAAAATTACTTCTCCTAACGAGTTCGGAAAGTGGAAGAAACCCTGACCACTCAGACGCGTGAATCTCTTTCATTTTTCCCTCGATTCGTGAAACTTACTTGATTGTTTTGATCACTTTCATCACGCATATTTATGAGTCATGATAAAGGCAGTAGTCACATCTTTAGTCATAACTTCCATTTGTAATTTGGATTAGGTCCTGTTCAAAGTCATAATGGAAAAAAGAATGTACTGTGCCAATGTATTGATGATTTCACTGATCTTAGATGATCTGTGTTTCACAAGTGGTGGAGTCAGTATTACTTGTTTTAGCATTGAAATGCGTGTCATAACTTCCATGCTGCCAGCGTTTCTTTGATAAGAACAATCTTTTTTGAGCATAAAGATTGAACCTATCATCAAGATTTCAAATTTGTAGAAAATATTTTCTCTTTACTGGCATACCTACTGACATCATTTTGTTACGTGTGATCCCAACAAACCTTTTGCATACATTTCGAAGCTGATTGCCTAGTATTATTAATACAACTTTTAGCTTTTAGATCAATCCTTAAATAAAATGTAATTCATATCCTTTCCTGGTAAGCTCCTCAGCATTCAAATTGATTGTTGCTCAATAGTTAATTTGTTGAACAAATTGTTATTTTCCTGAAAGGTATGTTTCCATACTAGCCCTGTATCCCGCAACAAGTTGCGCTTCACGTGAAATAAAATTGTTGAAATGGAAACAGCTGTGATATGTTGCGGTAAAAGTGCCGGGGACAAAAGTATGCCAAAAATACAACATGTCCCCAGGACTTCTACTCGCTGAACTATGTTTCCATTACCACGATTCTTCCGCGCAACATGTTGCGTTTCATCTGCCGACACATGTTTCGTAATTTATTGAAATGGAAACAGTCTTTAATGTGCTGCGGCGCAAGTGCCAGAGACAAAAATGTAGTGATGTCTCTAGGACTTGTGGCCGCTAACGTACGTTTCCATTTCTACGAATTTTTCGTTAAAACGAAAGAAAACCGCAACGTGTTGCGACACAAGTGCGCTGTGCGCCTGATGTTTATTAGAGTGAAAACGTACTTTGAGAATTTTTATTGATTTGTTTGTAAATCGATCGAAGCTGTAGATCATTTTCATATGATGCAACAAATTTGGCCGTAGGGAAAAACAGATTTATTTCTACGTTGTTCTCCGCCATTTGTTGCAACTGATAGATTGCCAGTTAAGCGTGCCAGTTTATGCCAGTCTAACCATCTGAAACGAAGGCAGGAATCAAAACAATAGTAACATCGTTTTTCCTACAGCCAAAATGATGAAAGTTATCTGCCTGAAAATGACCTGTATGTCTAATTCAGAGTTATGACAATCTCATTGCACAACACGTAAACGTTAATATTATTTGACACCTATGTCGTAAAGATTCAATGACTTATGTGTCAAATGCAATTACCATTAACGTTTTTATGTATGCAGATGACTGACCATAACTCTCTATTGTTTTCATAGTAGATTTTTGGATAACTTCAAGTAATACTAAACTTCACACTATTCTGCGTGTGGCTTTTAGATATTTCTGACCTCTCAACAAAGATCTACCATGAGATATTCCAAAGAATCAGAGTTACAAACGAACACTTTATTATGTAATATAAGAGTAGAATTCAGTTTTAAATGTATATATTTATAAAGAAAATATGTGTTTGTAAGTAATTATTGTAATATTCATTTTAATAGATTTTTATTCAGAGAACATTTATAATTATTTATTATTGTAAGTCGAAATGATATGAGATTACAATATATCAATTTTTGAAAAAAACTCCATGATTTTTTTTGAACCATGTCCCAATATCCTGGGTAATAAATGTCTATAAGACAACCGTATATTGGGATATACAGGGTGAAGCAATTGATATTTTTGCTAGAGCAGAAAGCACATACAAAATAGCAAAAAAACGTCCCGATAAACATACAGGGTTTGTCCGGAAAGTAATAGGACTGAGTCGATTTAAAAAAATGTATTGAGCCAATCGTTACAATTCTTTAAAAACTTTCAAAATAGGCTCCTTCTGCGTTCTGCATTCTCCGGAATAGCCTTGAGAGCCGCGGTGCATGCTGCTTGGATGCTCTCTGTTGTCTCAAAATGCTTGCCTTTCATCGGCCTTTTCAGGAGAGGCAACAAAAAAGTTCGGGGGGTCACATCTGGGCTGTAGGGCGGCTGCGGAAGCGTTGGGAGGCCGGCCTTGGTCAGGTAGCTGTTCACAAGAAAGGCGGTGTGAGCCGGGGCGTTGTCGTGGTGCAACTTCCAGATTTTGGTCAATTTAACATCTGGGCAATTAAACGAATACTTAGTCGATGGTCTGAGTTCAAAACTTTGCGCACACGAGTCACATTATATTATCGGTGTTTGTCGAAGTCGAAGGTCTTCCAGCACGGTCTTCATCAGCGACCTCTTCCCGGCCCTCCAAAAAGGACTGGTGCAACCGAAACACACCACTTCTTGCTAAAGCAACACCTGGGTAAGCCTGCTTGATCATATCTGTCGCAGATTTACCGAGTTTCACACAGAATTTAATCGCGTACCGGTGCTCTAACGAACGCTGTATTTTCGGCTTGCACCACTCACATAAACACGTCGCGCGAAAATGCCTGTCCTGACTCTCCAAGTGCTCGGAGACAACTGACCAGCCGCTCATTCGTTAGCTAGGAACGCCCTCTACCGAATCCAGTCGGTACGTGCACGCTCCGAAGTACAGTCATAGCGGAAGAAAATGAGTCCTACTACTTTCCGGACAAACCCTGTATATGCATGTCCTTAAAAAATATTACAGTATCACCAACATTCAGGGTATCTACTGTGGTTGCTATGCCACTGATGAGGCTGTATAATGAGCTTCCTAATATACCACATACAACACAGATCGATGTCAAACTTTACTAACTTCAGAGTATCTTCAATGTAGAACAGGACCGGTATTGTCATTCTTTAGCTTACCAACGATATGTTTTCAAAACGCTCAGCTAATCATGTCGTATGGCAAAAGCTTCTATACTGCGAGCCTAGCGCGGTAGCGATGACGGGCGCGAAATATCAAACGTGAAACGCGCCTTTGCGTCCATAGTGTAGTGACTGAGGCGGAAGCCTAGGGCGACGGGACCTAGCAAGACAGCGCGCGTAGTCTTCAAACGTTCCTGTTCCGCGCGTTCTGGACAAACTATCGGCCTAATCAGCGAGTGACCTAACGCACGGTGACGGCGGTAACAAACCAGTTCGGTGTTGTCACGCGGCGTATGCACGAGTAATTATTGCATTGTAATTGCGGATACTGAATTGTTTATAAATGCAATTTAATCTAATCCACCTATTGGCAAAGTAAACATCCGCAGCACAGGTACTTTACTTAGGGTGTAGTCAAACGGGCATTCGAGTGTATTCAAAAAATTTGGTAGGGTATAATCTCAGTTCATCATACAACTGAAAAAATTCAATAGTTGTTTCTCTGTTTTTATTTATTTCGTGCACACCATCTCGAATGTTCAACACCCCCATCTCAGAATCTGACTGTCTAGTAAAAATACCAAATCGTTGTCTATAGTTTGGGACTTCTGATAATGCGTCAAGCCAGTACAAGACTGTGGACACGACACGCCGCCGATCGCCGCGCCCACCTTAGGCCCCAGTTACCGCGCATTCAGTATGAACGCGCACTTAGGCGTTTGCTTAAGAATTCACGATGCTACGCGAATTTTGTCAACGGTTTTTTCAACGTTACCAACATAGTCTCGGTTGTGAGCGACCGACGGCCGACTGAGAGTTAGGTACAGTTCCATTTTGGTCTACGTCAAGTAGGTAGCTTACACTAGCAAAGAAACGCAATGCAGACTGTATCTCGAAAAATAATTACACATTCATCCAAATATAAGCATCTGTATACTACATTAACTGGTGGACAGTTTGCTTAATTTATTGACATTATATACTAAGTGACATATAAATCCGAACACCCAGTTTAAATGGTTTTATTTTAATAAAATTTTGTATAAGTACTTAATGAAGCATAATAAGTCAATGATAAAAATTTCAAAATGATTGCACTGCTTTAAAGCCCTTTGACCTTTAATAATGTGTGGATGCACCCTGATGTGCTACGCATTCTCCAACGCGCCTAGGCATGCTTCTGATCAGGTGGTCAATGTCCTCCTGTGGTATCTCATTCCAGGCAACCACCAACTCCTCTCGAAGTGCTTCTAGAGTCTGAGGAGGACGTTGCAAATTGAGCAATCTCCTACCCATCATATCCCACACGTGCTCAATTGGGGATAAGTCGGGAGATCTTGGTGGCCATGGTAACAATGTGACATCATTATGTTGAAAGAAGTCTATTGTGACTCTTGCAACATGTGGTCGGGCATTATCTTGTTGGAAAGTTGGATCTGCCAGGGTGTCAAGATAGGGTAAAAGATGGGGTTCTAGAACTTCATGGATATAACGCTGCGCGTTCATGTTACCTCTGATGAAGATTAAAGGTGACCTGGAACCATAAGCTATAGCACCCCAAACCATAACTCCAACAGTGTGATGAACATGTCTTTCAACAAAAAACTGTGGATTCCTCCTTTCACCACGTCGCCTTCTAACCCTGGCACGACCATCGTGCATGCCTAAACAAAATCGAGACTTGTCACTAAAGACAATACTCTTCCATTCCTTATCCCAGAGTGACCGTTGTCTGCACCACTCAAGGCGATTACGTCGGTGTTCTCGAGTTAAAGGGAGAACCCAGTGTGGCCGGTATGAAAACAAGCCAAAACTTCTCATTCGTCGGTAAACACTTCGCATGCCAACAGGTCTTCCGTGTTCTGCAAACCATTCATTTGCAATGAACCTGGTAGTGGAGAAACGGTCCCTTAAGGCCAATAATCTTAGGCGGCGATCTTCACGGTCTGTTGTTCTATGGCGGCGTCCAGTGCCCCTTGCTCTTTGCGTACGGCCTTCTCGAAGCCATGCCTGACAACACCTAACCACAGTGTCTACACTTCTTTGCACTCTAACTGCAATTGCCCGAAAAGAAAGTCCAGCTTCCCGAAGTCCCACTATACGGCCCCTATCAAACTCACTAAGTTGACGAAATCGTACAGGTCTCCGTACTCTAGGCATCGTAACCGATCGTAAAGGATGTCAAGAACCAAAATCCGCCAACGTTGATTCTTTACTGCGGCTGAAATATTCATTTTTAGAGCGTTAGTGAATTAAAAAAAAACAGTATAAAAACCGGAATGTCCAACTGATAAGGCTGAAAATTTTTTCACTTGTTATTTACAGTAATATAAATACATTCACCAACTTTTATTAAAATAAAACCATTTAAACTGGGTGTTCGGATTTATATGTCACTTAGTATAATAGGTAGTTGGAGAATCAATTATTTTATAATAAGATTATCTACTGTTATATCTATTTTTATGTCACTTGACTTGCAAGTACAAGTAGTTCATTATTATTACTTTCGCTTATTTACTGCGTGCGATCTACAAGGCGCTGGCAAGAGCGGTTGCAGCATTTCTTCCAAAGTTTGGGCGTATTATTTTCTTTGATGGTATAGTTTTATAATTTCGACATACTCCGAGAATTTAAAGTTTCCAGTCTTTCTGACTAAATTAACGCCAGTAAGCTGATGTGGGAATTGTTTCAAAAACTATCAAAAAATCGTATCAATAACACCGAACACCCTAGATATAAATTTAAGAATGCAGACAGCAATTAGCAAAACAACCAGTTAGTTGTGGTTCCGCTTTTCAAAAACGATGAGCACGAAGCAAACGGCGATACCAAAAATATCGAAAGCATGTGCGTCATATTCTCTGAGCAACACGAAACGCTTTGTGTATTGAAAAACAAGA